GTACACGTTTCTGGTTCCACTGGAGACACTTAGATGTGATTCTGAGAAACTGTTCATGATGTGAAAATGATCATTGTTCACACCAGACGCACATGATTAACAATTACACTCACATGGATGCAGTTAGAAAAAGGACACACAAAGTTGTGCCAAAAGTACATTTACCAGGAACGGATTCAGCCTTACTGGAGGATATAATAAATAGTGTAACACACAGAGTGTGTATTTATACACAGAATTTTCTGATCCACGATGACGAGTGGCTCATCAGCCATTTCCAGGAATAATCCTTTTGCAGTTTGGTACTGCAACTRGGGCTGAAACGATTCCTCRAATAATTTGAGTAACTCGATTACTAAAAATCCTGGAGGTAAATTATCTGCATTGAAGCTTCATAAAAAATAGATCCTGTTAAAATTAGCGCACTTTTGCTGGCCGGAATGTTATTCGAGTTACACAACGCAACAACGTTAGTGCTTCTGCTAGCGATTACACTACTGACACGTGTTATGCTAAGTATTATTTTTAGCAATGGAAGGAGACAAAGAGTCCTGAAACGAGGTGCTCAGAAAACGACAGAAACTATGAAAAGTGTGGGATAATTTAAAACTAAACAGAAAAGAAGACTAAGAGCAATTAGCTGCACATCCTCGATGTATCTGCACCGAAACAAAAACAGCTGATGGATGTACGTGTTCGGAGTAAACAACAGGTATTTGTTCACGTTCCCCTTCTRACTAATCATAGTTTCTACCTGGCAGAGTATGATTTAACAGAGTGGAAGTTCTGTGATCAAAACAACCTTTAAGTTTGCAGCAACAGATTGAAAGCATGAGCTGAAACACATTTATCTGTTGGTGCTTCTATCTTAAACGAGATACCTGGAGTGAWTATTTCAAGTTAAAATGTATTTATAGAAAATAGGATTTGTTTCCTTTATGCTGCTGCTGCTTTTTATGATGTTGAAACCTGACAGAATAATCAACAGATTAATCGATGACTAAAATAATCTTTATCTGCCGCCCTRACTGTGGCGCTGGGAGGTTAGGGTTCTGGGAGCGTGACACAGCGAGGAGTCGTGCGCTGCGTGTGAAGTAGCAGTGATTGAACTGGGAATCCACAGGGGCTTTCCAGTGGGAGCTGACAGGCCRATCAGGAATGTGCCGGTCCAGTCCACCCTGACCCGGGTCACGTCCAGTGAAACAGCCTCATATGGTTCTAAAAATTAAAATCATCAACAACACGTCATGAAAACTCTCCACTCAGGCACAAAGACTTGATTCTACATATTAACTATTAAATAAACAAAGACCCCTGTTCTACCAAACATCTGAGTTCCTCTGTGTTTACAGTCATTATGGTAATAAACACGTGATCAAAGTTRAAGGGACAATACCATGTAAAATCAACGATTTTGAGTTTTATATCATGTTATAATGTTATCCTCTTATCAAGTCTTGATTTGACTTAGGGCTGGGTGATATGGCAAAAAAAATTATCACAATTTTTTCATATCTGATCACGATTATCACGATTTTTTATATTGTTTTTAAAACAACTAGTTTTAAATCATATGTACTGAAAACTGAAGAAAGTACAGATTAGCTAATTGTTTAAACATTTTATTAACAAAAAATTAAACAAAACCAATAAGATGAACATGGAAACATAAAAAAAGTTTCACTCAGTGATATAGGAAAATAAAAAAAAAACACTCAGTGAACTAGTTTAGAGTTCTTTGGACGAATGCAAGATCCAAAATAAACAAACTGCCCCCTTGGGAATGAGGATGCCTTAAAATGTAGACATTATTATTTTCAAGTTATGAAGCTACAWACACTGTTAACATAACATCATTGCTACTTTGCTTGCAAATGTGCATCATCTTAAAGAACAATACAGATTAGCTACTTTCAATCTAAAATATAACACAATACAAAACATATTTATACAAACTTGTAATATAATAACAATTTCATTATTGTTTATATAAATTTAGGAAATACATCGAGAATTAAAAATAAAAAAATCTACAAAACTCCAACAGTAAAATCATTAACATATTTTCTAATATTGTTCATGATTAGCTATTATTAAATGTTATCAGGGCACAGCTAAAAACCTGATGTGGTGTCAGATGTAGTGAATAGTGAAATAATAAAAMATGTGGGCAGTAACGTGTTATTTTTAAAGCTAAAAAGGAATAWGGAACAGCTTTCTTGTTATTTACTTACCTATAGTTGAGTGCAGCCGGTGACAGAAACACTGCAGCCGAGTCCAGCCTTTGAGAGCAACAGCTTTTACTACATTGGCTCCATTATCTGTTGTGATGCACAYCTGTCGGTCTTCGCTTAGGCCCCATGATCCCAGTGCATCCTCCAGCCCCGACTGATTATTTAGGCAGTGTGATCCTCCAGAAAATACACTGTCTGCAAGCATGTGCTTTGAARAGCCCACTCCTCATCAACATAATGAGGCTCAGATTTGGCTCAGATGTGAGACTAGACCAAAGGTCAGTGGTAGTTGRAAAGTATTTAACATCTTTAAGCTTAGTCTCCAGCTGTCCTCTGCATTCGTCATACAGCTG